CTCCTGCTTCCTCTTCTTCTTCTCTTCCTCCTCCCCGGCGTCACACACACCCTCTCCTCTGTTTCCTCCTGTAGGAAACAGAGATGCTGCAGCCCTAGCTGCTGCCACCTCTCGCTCCTCTCCCACTTCACTCTCTTTTTCTTCTTCTTCTATTCTTCTCTTCTCCCTCTTCTTCCTCCTCTCTTCTTTTCCCTCTTCTTCTTCTTTTCTTCTTCTCCTCTTCTTCCTTTCTCCTCCCCAATGCCCCACAGCTCCTCGCCGCAGCCCTTGCCGCAGCCACCTCCTCTTTTCTTCTTCTTCTTCTTCTTCTGCTTCTCTTCTTCTCCTCTTCTTCCCTTCTCCTCCCTGACGCCACACACATGAACTCCTCTGTTTCCTCCTACACGAAACAGAGTTGCTGCAGCCCTAGCTGCTGCAGCTATCTCTCTTCCCTCTCTTCTTCTTCTTTTCTTCTCTTCTCCCTCTACTTCTCTTCTTCTTCTCCCCACGCCCCACAGCTCCTCTCTCTGTTTCGGGAACAGAGAACGTGGGAGGCGGTGGGATAAAACCGAAATTTTCGGTTTTCTTTATTTTTTTTTCTTTTTGTAACTTAACAGTTTAGTCCTTGAAATTTCTATATTTACATATAGGTCCTCCAATTTATATATAAATCCTTATTAATAAATTTTCAAAAGTGAGGGATATTACAAAAACCACCCTTACCTCTTTGATAAATCTCTTTGTATAAGTTGTTAGTGCCTCATCATTCTCTTATTATATCGCCAATAGCGAAGAAGTTGGCTTTTTCGGGAGCTTATAATTGATGAAGTTGAGCTCAAACTCCTTAATTGACCTAAGAAAGTAGTTGATTTAGGTGATAGCTTGACAAACCATTCCCATGCTACTCCTCATAGAATGGTCAAAAAAGTCTGACACGTGTAGGTGTCGATAGTCCTATATAGGACCACCTAGGAGATGAAGGTTATGATATGCTCTGACGAATATGAATTTCCATCATAAGTTTCAAGCATGAGAATGCAAGATCTTAGTGGAATCAGCTTCCCTATGATGATTCTAGTGAAGAGAGATCACAAGTAAGGCTTTGGTTCTAATTGCTTTTCCTACTTAATCTATTTTCATGTGTTTGAGACGTGGATCTATCTTAAAGAGTTAATCCTGGTCTTCAGAAAGAAGTCTGATAAAATGAACATTCGACTCCTTTAATGCCTCAGTTTCTTGTGTGGGGGGATTCTATGGTGGCTGCACCTCTCGACAAGTCTTTTTTGGGACAAGTCTTTTTTGAGAGAGGTTGTGACTTAACTATAATGCTAGGTGGGACTAGATAGAGTTGGATCCTCCTGATTTGCATGAGAGGAACTGACATGATTTTCATAAGTTATGTTAGAAAGGGCTCTCTTAGTGCCAATCCATTAAAGAAGATTATGAGCATCCGATTGGGATGATAATTCAGAGTCAATCGATGTCCTATTCCATATCTCTCTCAGCTTGGTATCAGGAAGTTTCAAGTTTGCCCAATTTGGGATGCGTCCAACCCTGTAAAACTTCATCAAGGTATGCTTAATGAAGCCCTTTCGAAGCTTAAATTATCTTTTAATTAGATATTGAATGTTGAGTCTTTAAATATCAAATGCACTTAACAATCATATCGTACTAAATACGAAGGATATATCATTATCACATCTAGAGGGTGTGTTCATGTCAACCAAGTGGCATCAAGATGTTGACTATGTAGATGTCAAAGTGCATGGAGCTATTAGCATCGATATATCAACTATATGATACTAAAGCATCGACAATTCTTATGGTCATTGTTCCCATCTCATATCGAGATGCAACCCGACTTTGAACACTATATATAAATTAGTTTATTTTTATTCTTATAAATTTTTTGTAGAATTGTCTTCTCCATATTCTCAAGCCTGTATAGATCACCAAGTGTCTAAGGCATTATATCTAGCAAATATTAACTTGAATTTTAAAAACAAAGGATGTTTAACGTGTAGCATCCTCTCCAAAAGAAATAAGCATCTTGATTTGCCCACACATATGAAGCAAGAACACATGGATCAATAAGAACATAGCGTCAATGTCGGATGGATCATCCTCCCAAGATTTAACAGATGAGATTGGTAAGGAATGAGATACTATAGCCAAAAGAATATGTAGGTAGGTTTTTCTTAGAAAAAAATTACATCCTCAGTGTCAGACTCTCATTGGTCTGTTTAATTTGTCTACGGACAGAATCTAAAGTTGATACCAAGGCACTTCACAAGGAATGAAGCCTTCCATATTAATAAATTATACTTCTATTTATTTGCCTGACTTAAAAATGTTGTGCCACTCAGAATCCAAATAAATGCTATGGTTTGTAAAGGATTAGATTCCATGATTTGCAATATGTCACCTGCAAAATTAACATTAACAGCTAAGAAATATGATAGTTGAAGGAAAAAAAAAAGTACTGACTCATACAAGGAATGATCTATGGAAGAAGTGGTGGAGAGGTTCGGGTAATTAAAAAAATTCAACTCAATGCTATTTATCTAAGGATTTTAAGCAAATTCTAAGAGTATCAGAATGAAAAGCATCGTAACACATGCACTCTTAAGATCCCTCCGGGAAAAGAGAGAGATGTTTCTTACTTTACCCGTAACATGTGGAAGTAATTTCACAATTATTCAGTCCAAATACTACATCCGGTACTATTACGATGATCAGAAAATCAAGGTATAATCAAACAAGCTGTAATTTTAAACCCCAAACAATTTTTCAGTAGCTGGATTCAAATTTCAGGGTGTCATGGGTGGATTTCCTTTCCATCTTCAGTTTGAGTTGAAAGTTTGCTGTGGCATGGTATGAGATTGAGAATTTGCAAAAACACCATCCAGTTTGTTCAAAGCTCTTAAAAAAGAAAGCTGTCACAATAAAAAAAATAATCTAGTCAACATGTATTGGTCAGTAATTCTCATTTCAGATCTAAGCTGACTGTAAGCTGACAGAGATTCTGCATGAGAAGCAATCTTTACTTGCCTCACCATAAAATCTATAATTTTTTCAATCACCATTAACCATATTGAAAACAAGTATAAGATATTATTACCTTTACACAGCTGATAGGAGCGCGACTTCGATTTCCTGGAGAGTCTTTCCTTTAGTTTCAACAACATTCTTTCTCACAAAAATTGCTCCCATCAAGCAAAAGGATGCAAAGATCGAGTACAAGATCTTTGCTCCTAATAGCTCTAGCAACCGCAAAAAGAACAAACCGACAAAGAAGTTCACAACCTGAAAATTTAAAATCAGTAGTCTTTGAGTTCAAAAGTCATATGCATCAAAGCAAAGGCATTTTCATATGTCCAAGACATTTTCTCAATAAGCTCACTAATAATAGTAAGCCAGAATTAAAAACAATTTCAGGTGAAGAATACATTGTTTGTAAAAACTATTATTCTTTGTTAATAAGTTAAATTGACTAATGAGACTAATATTTCCCAGCAAAGAATCTGGAAATAAACTTGTTTTTTATCACGTTATGTGAAAAGGGAAACATGACAGTCGTTACCCAGTGCACGGACATGCACAAAGCCACACCCTTTGCACGAATCTTGTTGGGAAAAATCTCAGGCAAAAGTAGACTAGGAACTGGGCCGGCTCCCAATGAAAATGCTAGGACAGATCTGTAGAGTTCACGTGATCAATTTGAAATCAAATTCTCCATAGCCCTTAATTTTCCATAAACAAATTAGTAACGTATTTAACTTCATAAACATACAAGTGAAATAAACAATCCATCATTTCATGATAGGTTAGAGCATACGGAAGCTGTTAGCAAGCAGAAGATTACACATGCTCAGCAATGAACTGCAACATATCAATGGACAATGATCACCTTTGCAGATGCTTGAAAGTGGTGCTTAGTCACTGATGGCTGATCTGACTGGTACCAATATGACTTATAATACGATCTGATACTTATCCATCAGCCATGAGTTAAGACTGAACCATCAACGCACATCTAGACGTTGGTAGTTACTACTGGCCATTAATTATGCATATCATTGTTATAATCCTAGTGATTCTCCATCCCCTGGCAAAAGAAAAAGTCACAGAACAGCCTAAATAGACTGTAAAATATTTCTCATCATTTTTGCTCAAAGATTTGCAAGACCATCATTTTTTTCTTGTTTTATCCGTAACAGGCATGACGCCATAATCAATCTAAAAACATGAGCTACTAGATGCTGAGTCAAACAGAAAAATGTATCTTAAGATGCACATTTTAATATTCAAGTTTAGCTGTTCATACAAAACTTGGAAGTCATGCTTGGCCTCAGTATAATTTAATCCACATAAAACAAAATTTAGGTGAGAAAGATATGGGGTGAGAAGAAAATGAGGTGAGATTGCTTTGCAGAACTTACAACAGCATTCCGCCAACAGAGAGGTACACATGCCAAGAACCTTGGTCGGAAAGACTTGCTGCAATAGCCTGAAGACCCATTGCTGCTGCCTGAATCAGCACCAACTACAACTAAGAAATGCATATGAATTCACAATCCACAAAAGTTTTAGAAACAAGGATTTCTACTTTACCATTCCCAGAAAACTTCCTACAAGAAGAAGCTTCCTTCCTACTATGTCCATCAAAAGCATGGCGACAATTGAGCCTGTTAGAAAAGAAGGATAAGCTACTTGCGAGTAGGACATGATAATTCCACTAATACTAAGTCTCATGCGTCTAACCTGATAAGTATGCAAATCCAACACATGTATTAGCAATATCTGATGGCACCCCTGCGCTTCTGAACACGGCAGAAGAGAAATAGAATACAGCATTTATTCCCGACAACTGTTGGAAAGCAAATAGCATTGTTCCAATAAAAACAACTGTAGCAGGAAAAGGGAATTGCAATGAACAAATAATTATATATATATTTCAAAATAAACAAATGAGAATAGAACAACAAAGATTTAGCAAGGCTCGGCGCATGTAATGGATACCTCTGAAGTGGCGACCATAGAATAGCTCAGAATACTTAATGCTTTCTCCGTCATCCCCTCTCTCTGACCTTGATAATTCTGCCATTGCTAGTTTGACGTGAGGTCCTCCCAAGAGTCTTTCAAACTCAACTTCTGCTTCAGCAACTCTTCCACGCTGCAGTTGACCAACATCCATTCATAATTATATTCTCGTAAACAAATGTCATCTTACCAGTCTCATTGCATTTTTACACAACAGTGCAAGAGAATATTTAAAACAGAATTATTAAAATATCATGAAATGCCTTCTCATCTTCCGTTTTTGAAAGGGCACTGCTGCAAGAGTGGTTTCTATCACTGTCTGATGGCCTTGGGATCCCTACTTTATGTAACCATCCAAGTGATAACATAGTAGACACCAGACAAACACCTAGGTGATATACAAAGTGGTGAAACTAATATAATCCCTCTTCAAAGTGAATCCAATCTGTTGGACATCTATGAAGTTGGAAAAAGCCTAAAAAATTAAAAGATTATTTTTTAAAAACATTTTTACATATGGATCAAGTAAATGAAAGCATAGAAACATTTAACAGACTAATACATTTGATCAACAATATAGAGGTATGAAAATAAGTTAAACTTAGGTTTTCTTCATCTAACAACATTCAGACCAAGTTTCAGTTCTCACTAAAATTTGTACAAGATAAAAAAAAGTTCAGCATTTCAAAATGCCACAAGTCTCATAAAGCAAGCATAAAAAAAGGAAAATTTGAACTGATGCATATACCTAATATGAACCCTAGAACTTAGTCTAAGCAAAAAATTGAATCAATAACACATGGAAATAAATAATTATACTTATCTAAAAAAAAAGCCAAAAATGACAACATGGGGCAAAAGGTTGTTGCTATCTTGCCACTCCTCCCTCACTTGTGGAAAGATAAATTAAGCAGCTCGACCCTATGGATTTTTGCATGTAAATTGCAGCCTGCATGACTGCCGCCTTATCAATTTGAGGCTTGCTCATATGCTCGAGCAACTGAACATCGATAATACGTTTCTATGATGCTTTATACACTATATTATGTTTTCACAATGCACAACCACTTTCACTGCTAATTGTTTACATCCTGAAAGAAGTTCACATAAGAATATTAACAATTTTCAGAAGCAAACTTGAGAGAAATCTTAATGCCAAATATGCTTTGTTTCTTTTCTAACTTGATCAGAAAAAGGTCAAACATAGATTGAGCAAAGGGCACAGTGGCTAACCAGCAGATAATTACTAGTTACGACTAAAGCCACGTCAACCTAAAAAAGGTAAGACAAAGAAACAGGAGGAAGAATAAGAAAAATTAGCAGACTTAACAAGCAAAAATTTTGAACTCTTAGGTCAACAACCAAGAAAATACATCCTTTTGAATCAAGCTAAAGCTGAAAATTTTATTTCCATCACAATAATATTATCAAGAAACTAAGAGAAGTTATGAAATGTCAAATTCACTGGACCACATACTTCTAATAAAATGTAAAATGATTCACATCCTCAGGTATACTGAGTTCTTGAAACAATTACAGTCAAATGATTCATTGATCCCACTGTTGCAAAAAATTGAATAAGTATCTGTCTTTATGAACTACCATTCCAGAAACATTCTTATCTAGAGCATCAACCAAAACTCCCATGTTACTGATAAATTTGAAGAGTTATGTTAAAACAACCAATATGTTCTAAAGCATCCCCGACAAGGGAATAGATCCTTATAAAGATAAAAATAAAATAAAATATTATTTAAAAGGCCAAACCAATGCAGAGAGACTCAGCGAACAGACATAAAAAAGATGACCTTATAGAGCCAATGAGGACTTTCAGCACAAAACTCCATACAGAGAGCAAGAAATGCAGCTGGAACAGTAGATACCCAAAAGCATACTCGCCACCTGCAACCATTCGAAGCTTATGTAATGGTTTGGAAAAGATTATCCAAGAACGTCCGAGTGGAAGTCACTGCACAATGTCTCAACGGACAAGTTACCATCCCACAATTTCCTTGACTGGAGCACCAATAAAGAGTGCCGCTATCAGCCCGAGGCATGTTGCAATCTGAATTAAACTACCATAAGTACCTCTCACTGAAGAAGGAGAAACCTGACCACATATGAAAGTTGGGACAACAGATAAAATCAGATCCAACAGTATGGTAAATGAGAATGTTAAATACTGAAATTATGGACACGGATTATCTGAAAGAAAAAAAAACATCTTGATACCTCCGTCACATAAAGGGATGCTACAGCTGGTCCTAGACCCATCCCTGTTCCAGCAAGAAATCTGCCAAGAAGCATACCAACCAGACTGGTCGTCGAAGCACTGCAGATGCATGTCAAGTGATACACTTAGACATCAGAAAAGTTGCAGTTTTGGCGACAACGAAGAGCAAGTAGTGCTCCTTTTTCCCTCCAGAAAACAGAACATTGCTTCTGTTTTCTGTTGATAGCTCATTATCAGACTATATGCATAATTAACAATGCACCTTATTTTCTGTAGCAAAGATAAAAAAGCGAACTTTGGAAAGTGCAATGGGAATAAATTGATACAAAAAATGATGACGAGAAATGCCTGCAAGATTCTCCAATCTCGATAAATTACCTCAATGAAGCCCCAATAATCATGGGCAAAGCGCTCAACTGGAAAGACCTGCGCCGCCCGATGCCGTCGGAGATCAACCCACTAAACAAACATCCAATAAGTGCGCCTCCCAAACACATGCTCACCACAAGTCCTGCACAAGAAATCGATGACCATCATCACCACCATATACTACCAAACAAATCATAATAACTCAAACACAAAACTGTGAATCCAATGCAGATCACCTTCCGCCAACGTGTTCCCGGTGAACCCGAGATCCAGCGAAATGCTCTCGAGCGGCTCATTCACAACCCTGCAACGAAAGATCAGCATACAAGGCACGACCTCAAACAAGAAGAAGGAAAAAGAAAACCACGATCCACAGCACTCACCCGAGATGGTATCCGAACAAGAAGGAGGATACGGTTGCGATACAAACGTGGGGTAAAGACGGTTTCCAGGACGGATTGCCAATGTTCTGATCCATCAGATTCAGCAATCGATCTAACAGCAGAACCACAATTTCAACGCATTAAAACAACGATTCATCGATCGAATCGCCCCCAAAAGAAGGAGATTATACCTGAGACATCGTCGGCGCGATCGGGATCGCCGACGAAATCCTTGGAGTTCATCCTCTTGTAGACGGATGAACTAAGGCCGGGCCGCATCTCGATCGGCGCAGAATCTCACTACTACTGGACTTCCAATCAAACTCAAACTCCCACGAATCACAACTACTACTGACGACAGCTACTTCCGCGCTGGACCCGATTCAAGAACAAAGAGAGATTCGCAAAGAAGTAATATCTTCAACAGATTTCTAGGTTTGGAGAAACCTTAAAGCCAACATCTGGATCCGGAGAGACAGAGAGATGGGTGAAGCCTCCGCTGTCACCTTCCCTGCTAATGTGCGCTCGGTCTCCCTTCCCCCCGCGTCGCCGAACAAACCGGGAAAGGGAGCGCGGCCGGTGCTAAACTGACATATTTTGTGTCATCCGCGTAACGGAATCAATCGGTAATGTATCACTTCAAATCATAATGGGAAGTTCTTGATTTGTTGTGACACGATCTTTAAAGTATTGATTTACGGCACAGATACGTCAGCAAGTCCCGTCGGTGTGATCTCAATCTCATGTGTTCGTTAAATATCACAACATAACGTGACCAACCGCGGACGTCATTGCGGTAGCTTGATGCTTTATCGTCCGCCACGTGTTGGTAAGGAAAAGTGGGATCTCGTGCGCGGGGAAGCAGTTGGTCGCGTAGTGGTGAGCGGTGGTAACGAACTCAAGCGAGTGATAAACTCACCCCATGTCCGTCGCTCGTGCACCGCCCTGATCTCTGCTGGCAACATGAGAGATAAGGAGTGCATCTGTACAAATTGGGGTGAATTCAAACGGACTACTAACATCGGTTGAGTAATTGGTTTCACGAGTAGAGGCGTCGCTTTGAGGTGACTCTTCGTATAAAATGCAAGCTTATAAGGCTTAGAAAAGCATAAATAATTTTTATGTGAAATGCTTGTATATATATGTATATGAATGTATGTATATATAAATGCTTCATCAAATACTCAAACAATTATACCGCCTAAGTTTCAAAAAACATAAGTGATCTTTTATTTGAAATCTCTTGTTTATATATTTCATTTATTTCATCAACTTAAAAAAATAAAATATATCCGAGACACACGAATCGTATTAATTAAATAATAATCCCTAAGGTTGTAAAAGAGTAATATTACCATTCTACTCGGCTCCGTTCCCTTAACAACTTATGTGGAACGCAAAAAAAAAAAAAAAAAAGATTTTACTTATGTTATTTGTTAGAGATGAATAAATTATGCAGAAAATGGCTCAAGATTGTTGTAATCATAGTTCCAGAAATAAAGAGTAATGATTGTAATGCTAGGAAACATGGTTCGAGCAAAGCTTCTGAATCAAGGGGATAAGGTCTTTTTTATTAGTTATGACCAAGCTTCTTTTGATGCATTAAACTTTGAACATGTCAAACACCATACATGATGTTTAATCATCCTGCCCATAATTCATCACTAATTTTTGGCCATTAAAAGATGTTTTTTTTTTCTAATCTACAGTACTCATAATTTGAGTGTTTCTTTGTGACAGCAAGAAAAAGAGTAGTTCTTGTGACGAGTAGCTGAGCAAAATGAGACTTAATTGCCCTGCAAATTACCGTAATCTAATTTGGAGGATTTAAATTCAAGTGTTATTAGTTCATAAGTCGGTCATCGATCCGAATCATGGAGATAAACCGACTTGGTCCATCTTCCAAATTTTATCATACTTCAAGAATTAATCTAGTAACACAATTTAGAGATTGTTTTTTTTATCAAAAATGAATTCTTACATTAAAGAAGAGATCGAGTGTTGGTATTTTGATTTTTTTTATAGGTTGATTATCATATGTCAAATCATAATTAAATGGAGAATTTTGTTCATATTTAGTCATTTATTAAAAAAAAATTATTGTCTGTGAAGAGAAACTGATATGTCTTATAGATGTGATAAATTTGGTGCACACAGAGAACCACAAGAATATTGTGGGTGAGTTTAATGATGAACACAGTTTTTCTGTATGGTTTTATGTGTGATTTAGGAAGCCAAAAATATTTTTTTCTATGAGAGAAAAGAACTGCTTCTCAACTAAATTTCAAGTGAAAACTGTCTTTATCGAATGAATTTAGTTCACACAGACAATTAGGATTTGTGCACGAGGAGGACGATCCCGAGTGGATGAGAGTGAGAATCACGGAGGAAGCCCCGTTAAGGAAGTCCTAATCCATTATTTATTTTACTTGCGTATAGATCCAAGAAAAAGAAGATTGAAAGATTAGAGAGGGAACAGGGAGTTCACGACCTCGACCAATTTAAAGTAACCGATTCCTATTATGGAATTGTAGGAGCATAACCAAGGAAAATAGTATGATTTGTTATTCATTGGTGTGTGCTATCATGTAATTTAATCATGTGAATGATACATGTGTAACATGATTCATACTCTTATTGTTTATTATTATTATTATATTTTTTATTTTTATATTACTTGTTGTATATATATATTATGATGTTTATAAGTTTATGCAATATGAATTGGATCGTGATGAAATCATGACAATGATAATGAGATTGATTCATTTTTTAAACATAGACCATATATAATCTCGGTCATAGATTACTCGAGAGAGACATCGAGATAATTAGATATACTGATGTACTCGACTGATCACATGATTGCTCGTATGAGGACACTAGGTGTATAATGTAGGTACTCATTGGAAAATAAGTACATTGATTGATTCGCTCACAGAATTCTAGATGGTTGATGATACCTCAGTGTTAGATAATAATTCAATTATCCCGATAGTGTATCTGGTCCTTAGACTTGAGACACTAATGATGTCCGGTATGAGTACTACATTCTTTGATACCAAACTTATAGGTTTGGAAGTTCCAAATCTAGCACAACTGGTTATCAAGAGTGGCAGTCAATCTTACGAGGGCTATTGAGTGTCGATAAATGATCATTCATTTTCGATGTCATGAGAGAAATATTCTATGTGTTCTTGCTCAGACAAATCTTTGGCTATAGTCATTCGAATTTAGAGAGAAAAAGTTCCTTAGGAGAATCCGGTTAGAGCAAGACTCGAGTAGAAATCGTATGGGTTTAACAGCACAATGCCTGGTATACGATCTTTGAGATATTATATAGACGAGGGACTATAGATATATATATAGTAACTGAGGATAAACAAGTCCAATGGATTAAATTGTCCTATATTATCCAATGATTGCGGCATAGTGGTCTGGTACATCTATAGTTGATGAGTCAAGTGAATTATTATGGAGCCATAAGGTGTTATGACAATTATGACTTTCAGCCAACTTGATATTGGGCCTAGAGGGTCACACACATATTGTAAGTGTTACGATAAGTAGAGGTTCAGATACGAGACATCCGTTGGAGCCCCTATCTTATTGGATATCTAATAAGCCCCTGAATTATTAGATCCTATGTATGAGATACAATAAGAGCCAATGAGAGATTATTGGGTAAAAATCCACTAATCTAAGAGCTTGGATAGTTGGATGGAGATCTAGTACTCAATATGACAAGATCCATTGGGATTAAGTTTATAGGGAGCTTTTATAAATTGGAGGGAACCAAAGGGCTATAAACTAGGCATTTTTGGTTGCCACCTCCTATTCTACTTTCCCTTTCTCCTCCTGAGCCAATAGCCCCTATTTAAGGCATATGGAGATTTGGGCAACGATTCGAGAAACATCTTTGCAGTATCTATCGTGTGGATCACCACTAGAGGGGAGGACAGTTGACATCCTTCATCCTCTCCTATAGATCTATAGGATTTTAGGGATATACGACCTCCTTAGGTAAAACATAATCTTCTTATATGCGTAATTTTTCGATTTTATAAAATTTGTACACTAATTTCGCATAATAATAAAATATTTTTGTAAAAATTTGAGAATTTTGTTTTTGTTTTCCGTTGCGCAAGTGATATCGCCCATAGATTTCCCTACATGACTCATCTTAAATACTTAATGAAATAACATAAGTTTGCTATATTTGCTCTGCTAGAGATACATCTTAGTATAGAGAGGAGTGCTCCTTTTGTAAAGAGCAAATAAAAACCATTTTATAGATGTAGAGGGAAGATCAGGTGAAATCCTATGTTGGGATGAGGAGCAATTGCAAATAAAAATGGTTACTAACAATAATCAATTTATAAGCATGGTATTTGACTCCTTATGTCAGACTCCTTAGATCTTTAATATTATTTATGCCAATATTTCATATTTAGTTTATAGAGATGTTGTGAACTTATTTATTGCCTGTGATTTTTCTAAATTTCCTTAGATTATTTAGGGGGATATGAATATAATTTCTTACTTAAAGGATAAGTTTGGAGGAAAACCATTCACCCTCTCTCAATCTTATTGACTTTAGGAATTTTATTTCCAATATTAATATGTTAGATATTAGTTTTCATGGTAATAAATATACTTGGTGTAATAATAGATTTTGCATATTTAGAATCTCTGCTATTGGTTTAATGTGTTTAAACATACTAAAATTGTTCATATTAAACGAGTTGTTTTCGATCACTATTCAATTTTGACTAAAGTTAGGACTTAAGGGTTTCAAGAGAAATAAAATAGGATTTTTAGGTCTGAAGGTCACTGGCCAAAACTTTCAGCATCTTTTTAGGGATGCTTGAACTAATTTTCTTAAAGCTGGAGGTTCCTGTGAATAAACTTACAGTAACCTCAATGCCATTAAGTTGTCCATTCAAAAGTAGAGAAAATATGAAAATAGTATTGAGAATAGGCTTAGGGACACCTATAAATAAATTGACTTGCCTGAATTTAAGGCCATTTACATGGGCCTTTTTGAGGTGAGGGCAAAATTTTGATACGCCTTCATAATAAGGCCTCAGCTCTTAATCCCTAATTATATCATAAATGATGGTCAAAGCCAAGATTCAATGGGTTAGTGAACATATCATAAAAATATATTTTTTTTTCACAAATGTATCAAATTTAGAAAACCCATAACTCATCAATCATATCATTTAGGATAATTGCACCAAGGTGAAAAGTGGTTTAGAGATTACTGATCATTTTGTTAGTTGGTACAAAAATTTACGAGGGTTGATGAGATTTTGGAGTAGTTGAGCTAGAGGGATTGTTCATCCCTTCCCCAAATTAATGATAGGAGAATACTACTCTTATCAATAGTTTTTCTCTTGATGAAATTTATGAAGCTCTCAATCCAATGGGTTTATGAAAGAGTCTAGGCTTTGACGGTTTCAATGTTGAATTTTTTTTTTTGAGTCTTTAAGAATATTACTAAAGATAATATTCTTGAAGCTTTCAATAAGTTTCACATATCTCTCA